GGGTGAAGTGGTGCTGTCTTGGTTTTAGCAATTCCCTACCAAACTACCAAATTTCTTATTATTGAGTTCTGAATTGCCCAAGACTGTGAGCCCACTCGATTGATACTTCTGACATTGGAAACAATTCGACAAACAGTCGTCAGGTGGGGCTCAGAAATGGAAATGAAATCATATACCTATGATGCCTCAGATAGAAAAAAAATCTTGTCTGTTAATTTCATGGTTATGAATTTTCTTCATGATACTAGTCAATTTGTAATAGACATGTTCATTCAACTTTCATACTTACTCTTTTCATCTATGAAACTAGTGACTTTATCATTGTCACATGTACTTCTCGTTTGATTCTAAAATATTATTGAAATATTGTTTAAGGGGCAGTATGCAAAAGTTTGATTATCAAAAACGTCATGTGATGTGAAATATGTTGAGAAACAGCAGTTTTTAGAATGTCGGCTTTCACTACGTCATGACAACATCCCAAAAACCGGGACAAAGTTGCGCAGGTGTGATGTTATAAGATTCAGCTTACCGACTGTGTATCTGATTTGGTTCCTGCACCAGTATCAATAGATTTAGCTCTATATCTCTTTTTCTTAATCTCTAAAGCTTCTTTCACCTAGAAATACATAATTTATCAATTCGTCCATTTAAAACACATTAGTCATGAATGATTCTAGGGGTTTTTTTTTATCTATGTTTAAGTGGTTCAAGGACCCCCCCCCCCCCCCCCCCCCCCCTCTCATTACAGCACCGAAAGCAAGTTTTTCGGGCAAAAATCTCATGATTAGGTTAGAAATTCGGGCAATCTCAGATATTTCGCCCCTCTCGGACGCAAAACTGGCCCTGCCACTGATCCAACAATACCTAAAGTTTAAGGGGTATGTGTGTGCTAATATTGAAACTATTTATTATTATTTTTCTAATGGGGTCAGGAAAGCTAATAATAGCCCAGGCATATAATTTGGCGAAACAATCTGACTACTTCATAGAAATAAGGTTACATCTGACGAACTAGACAAAGATATTAAGAAGATTAAAATGTAGTTACCTCCAGAAATTTATATAAACTACAACAGTCAGTAGAAGACAAAATATTGAAATGGCACATCCAATAGCTGAAATGATACTCAGTGCTTCTCTGTGTTTTATTGGCTAAAATATAATAATATAATCTATTTAGTCATACATTAGTGATTGTTTATTATTTTTCGACGCCCAAGGCTTATATATAGTAAATTGTTCTACTCAGCACTAGTTAAGATGTTTTTCCAAACCAATATTGAAATATATAAAATATTCTTCAATCATCAGCGGCAGAGCCAAAGAGGGGGCACCGCAGACCCGAAAGAAAGTTTATTTTAAACTTGGCTCCGTCACTGTCAATCGCTAGCACCACTGTGCCTTAGAGTGGAACTTAAATTCAATAAAGTTAGATCTTTTTCTATTTTAATAATCTCACCGTTTTACCAGGGCTCATCAGTATAGCAAAGTTAGTTAAGTGATCACATTTACAGATGGTAACATTAGGATTTGATGTGGATTCTGTCTTACAACCTTCAGTTGACCACCGTCCTCTCTTATCATATCTATAATAAAACATTATTTATATAAAATGAAGACCCAATTTGGTTTTTAAGTATTACAGGAATCACAGAAAACAGACGGGAATTAATGGTGCAAAATGAATCTATAAGTCTTCTTGATATATTGTAAAGACTTTTTGAAACTTTTTTGAAACCATTTAAACCTGTTCATATGGCAGCAATCGAACCTTCTCTTTAACAAAAAATAAAACAAATGGCATTACTTACGGAGCTTTCAGATCTAGAAACACACAAGTAGGAGATGAATAATTATCCTAGAAATATAAAATTAAAATGTAAAAGTAGCATATATATATATACCTAATCAAAATGCACTAGATAATTAAAGGCAAAATGCAGAAAAAATCAAACAATAATGTTAATGGATCATTGAAAATAAAACGAAATGACCAATGATCATCCCATCTCCTATCGCTATTCGACTGACCAATTTTACTTTAGTCTCAGAAACGGGAATTTATTTAGCTAATCAGTTAAAGAGTTCACAGTTCGCCGTCGAAATTTTAGCCTTCAAATATATGTCTAGAATTATCCGCGTTTGAATTTTAAAATGACAACTCGAAATGGATAATCTGTCTCTTTAAACTCTAACTGATAAATGTTGAAAACTAAGTTCTATAGGTGGATCTAGTTTGCCTGTTGGTGGTGGATTTATTGACAAGGCTAATATTTTACTGTTGATATCTACTGTTATATTGTTTTGACTGTCCATGGTTTCTCTGGAATGAAAATGTACTCCAAGTAAACAAGTTGGAATATATTCATGCCAAGCACTATACTATGGTGGAGCGTTGTTTTTATGACAAATGACTAACATTGTATATACTTTGATTCTTGTAATTAAGCCTATAGTTATTAACAAAACCAAATGCAACCATTGTGAATCTCTCCATAATAAAATAATGAAACATACCCAGGATACAGAATCTTGCCTTCAACAATTTTCGAAATGTCATTATAAAATACGGCATTATAACCAATATCTTTGTTATCTAAATAGAAAATGAGATATAACAATCAGAATAATATATGAGTTTACACAGAAGACATCATGTCTTGAAGAGTTGTTTAACTCGTGGTACCCAATTAGTAAGAAGACGAAAGAATACAGATACAGAATACTAAATTTTGATCCAAATCAAGTAGCGAATATACAAATATTCATGAGATAACTAATATGATATAATTATACCTTTATAATAGTTCATAAGCGTATCTTTCTTTACTAAAGCTTTATTAGATGAGGATTTCAACCATTCTGGATAAGTTGATGCAGCTGGTTTGGGAAATTCAATATCAGTCAAACTAGAAGACCTCCCGATTTCAATTACTGTAACAAAGAGATCGTATATTTATCAAAAAGATGTTAGTTTTTTTTATATAGGCTTTCAAGATTCACACGGCGTCTTAGAATCCTAAAATTGTCCTTCCATTAGTTTTAAATAAGAAACTTTTACTCACCCATTTTATCTGTAGAAACTGTTATGTGTTCGCTGTTTTCCAACCTAGAACTGGACAGTTTTGTCATAGCATCGATAGTGTCGATTATTACAGCTATTCCACTCTTACCCTGGATAACAACAGTGATATTACAACATGAGTAAACCAATTTTAGATGAGATTTTGAGTAACGGAATTGTCATGATTGAACTGATTTTATTACTCAAGTGCAGAAAAATTAATGTTTGTCAGTATTACCTGTTCAGCTAAAGTTATCCAGAGGGCATCATCAGTATCTAATATGTTACTTGCAAAATGAGCTAAATTCTAGATGAATACAG